GCAGTCTGCTCGAGCGTGGAAAGCCCCGCTCAAGCATCAGACACAAGGTTCTGCTCGAGCGTGAAAGTTGACGCTCGAGCGTAGAATACACATTCTAGAAGTTTTGCAGACGAGGGTCCCCGTTCGAGCGTAGGACTAGACGCTTGAGCGTCCAAAGCACTTTCCCAATATTTTCAGAATTGTAAAAGAGATGCTGAGAAGTGGCAAATCCCGCTCGAGCGCAAGAATGGCCGCTCGAGCGGAGGAACAAAATTTGTGAAGTCCGCTCGAGCGTAAGAATTCCCGCTCGAGCGGAAAAGCCAAAATCTTGGTAATAAAGGTTTGGAAAAAACAAGCAACTATCCTGTCCCAAACGCACAACTACAACCTGATAACTAAAATAAAGAGGAAAACAAAGGAAAGAAATATGAATAACTATTCAAAACCAAACCAGCTCGAGTTCAAAATGCAATAAGTAACGGGTCAAAACCCGGAATCGCTATGATGATAATAATACCCAATGGCCTTGTTTGTTTCTAGAGTTGAAGAATGAGATTGGGACTAGTAATGAGATGAGATTTAAAAAATCATGCTTGTTTTGAAAAGTGACCATAGGATTAAGAGTCCTATGAGACTATAAAAGGCCTCATAAGAGAGGACTAGCAATCTCATAGTATTAATATCTAATCCCATGGGATTGGAGGTAAAAATATTATTTTGTCCCTTATTTTATAAAATTAATTTAATATCAAAAAAAATTTTAATACAGAAAATTGGTGATAAATCCAATTTAAGGAGGGTTTAAAGCATTAGGTCCAATGGATATTTTTTGTTGGTGAGAAATCCACATTTTGTGACATAGTTTGGTTAGAAATCTTAGAAAATGTTTTGTTTCCAATTTTATCTTTTGACTTTTTTTAATGTATGACTTTGTACTGAGTATCTATTCAAATTTATATCTATCTATTCAAATTTTTTGTCTACCTGTTCAAATTTATATCTATATGTTCAAATTTTTTTACTATCTGTTCAATTTCTTCCCATATCTGTTCAATTTTTCTTCTAAATTGTATCTATCTATTCAATTTTTCCCTCAATTCTATTTATCTGTTAAATTTTCCCTTAAATAAAATCTATCTATGGGTTTCTTTCTCTATCTGTTTAATTTTTTCTCTATTCAAAAAATTTATTTGTTTAATTTTTTCTATCTGTTCAATTTTCTATGTTTATCTGTTCAAATTCACACACATACATAGAGAGAGAGAGGGGTCTTATAATTTTATCTGTTCAAAATGTTGCCTATCTGTATAAAGCTCACATACATACACTCACAGATATATAAACATATGCTATTCAACATTAACAACAAGAAGAAGAAAAAATCTGTATAAGTATGAAATGAATATACTTTGCAATTTTTATCTGTTAGACCTTTTTTTTATCTGTTGCAATGAGCATCAACAACAACAAAGAATAAAAAATAGTCAGATCATCAACAACAAGCCAGATAAGGAAAAGGAAAAAAAAAAGAATTTGAACAGCTAATAAAATTTTGGAACGGATCTAGAGATGACGACAGTGGATCTATGTATTAATAGACATATGCAACTCCCATCATCAGTCTAACATCCAAATCTAAAATTCAATAAGAGTTTTAGATACAATCTCAAATCCACCATCTGTGCAAATACGAAATTGTGCTGTCCTACAGAACAATCATCGTCAAACAATCAAAACAGAGGAGCCAACAATAGTAGCATAAAAAATCCTAGAGAGAGAGAGAGAAAGAAAGAGAGAGAGAGATAATGAGTATCTTACTTCCAAAGGATAGAAGTGAATCGAGAGAGGCATTGGTTGAGAACGACGAGTGCGAGGCCACGGCGTAGAGACGGCCACGACCACAGTGCAGAGAGGCCTACAAGGTCATCGGCGTTGGTTCTACTACCAGATCTAGTCACTTCGACCAGATCTCCTTTGAAACCCTAGCCATGGCGTCTTCATTTATGTATAAGCAATAGTTGTATCACACAAAGCTTAAGATTGAGATGGTGATTAGGGCTTTAATTAGACTAGAATTGATGCCAGTGATCAAAATTGTACATCAGCCGAATTGAGGGTTTTGTGACGAAGGTGAAGAGAAGATGAGAGAGAAAAGACAGAGACAGAAGGAGAGAGAGGGGCGGTTAGTCGATGGCGATGGAGGTGGTGATGGACAGTCGGCGACGATAGAGAAGATAGAGAATAGACAGAGAGAGGAAGATGAGAGAGAGAGGCGATCAACGTGGGATTTGGAGCGTAATTCATGTGTATATCATATATATATATATACTTGGGGTAGTATGTCATTTTGCACCAGCTTGTCCTTATGGACAATGAAAATAAATGCCTGACCTCTGACCAACGAAAATTCAATTTTAAATTTTTGGTCCGAGTAATAAAATAGTATAATAATATATTTATACGAAAAAAATATTTATCAACATAAAATAATATAGTATCAAAATATAATTTTGAATATTAAAATATATTAAAAATATCAAAGTGTATTATGGTATTTTATATAGGTAATCCTCTCACTAAAATATATCACAAACAAACACAATTTTTCTTAATCAGTAATAATTTCCAGTAATCCTCTCACTAAAATATATCACAAACAAACACAATTCTTCTTAATACCTCAATAATAATTTTCACATTAACAATCACACCCAATAGGCCCAATGAGTTTATTAGTCTCCCCCATCCCCTTTCTCCACAAAAGCTACTATGAAACTGTTAGACCAAAGAAAGTATTAACCATAAAGTTTTATTTAAAAAAATAAAATAAAAATAAAAACTAGATTTGGATGAAAAAACTTACGTGCGCGGCTCATGTTTTTTGAAGTGATCCATAAGATCTAAAGCGCCATCATAAAATATTTCCATTGCTTTCCACTTGTTGAACTTAGGAGTAACAGTAACGTTAAAATTTCAAAGATATGTATGTATTTTTCTCTTGCTGCCCGGGCCATAGTCCTCCACATTTACGTCTACATTTGAAGAGGGTGGCATTACAAAGTAGTGTTTGGGGTGAGGGGTTCCATGGACCTCATTATATGCTTCCCAAACCATCTCTACTTTAGACTTGTTTAAAATCCTAGTTTCTTCCACTATTTTTCTTAATCTCTCAGTAATAATTTCCAGTAATCCTCTCACTAAAATATATCACAAACAAACACAATTTTTCTTAATCTCTCAGTAATAATTTCCAGTAATCCTCTCACTAAAATATATCACAAACAAACACAATTTTTCTTAATCTCTCAGTAATAATTTCCAGTAATCCTCTCACTAAAATATATCACAAACAAACACAATTTTTCTTAATCTCTCAGTAATAATTTCCAGTAATCCTCTCACTAAAATATATCACAAACAAACACAATTTTTCTTAATCTCTCAGTAATAATTTCCAGTAATCCTCTCACTAAAATATATCACAAACAAACACAATTTTTCTTAATACCTCAGTAATAATTTTCACATTAACAATCACACCCAACAGGCCCAATGAGTTTATTAGTCTCCCCCATCCCTTTTCTCCACAAAAGCTACTATATGAAACTGTTATACGAAAGAAAGTATTAACAATAAAGTTTTATTTAAAAAAATAAAATAAAAATAAAAACTAGATTTGGACGAAAAGACTTATGTGCGGCTCATGTTTTTTGAAGTGAACCATAAGATCTAAAGCGCCATCATAAAATATTTCCATTGCTTTCCACTTGTTGAATTTAGGAGTAACAGTAACGTTAAAATTTCAAAGATATGTATGTATTTTTCTCTTGCTGCCCTGGCCATAGTCCTCCACATTTATGTCTACATTTGAAGAGGGTGGCATTACAAAGTAGTGTTTGGGGTGAGGGGTTCCATGGACCTCATTATATGCTTCCCAAACCATCTCTACTTTAGACTTGTTTAAAATCCTAGTTTCTTCCACTGTTTTCAAACATAGCATTATATATAAAACAACAAAAACAAAGCTTATAAATGAGTTAATAAGAAGAAGAAAAATTAGGAAAAGCATAAGATTAAAAGTAAACAAAGGAGATGCTTTCCGGGCATTATTCATCTTCAACTCCTCTAACTAGTTTTGATTCAAGACTACAATCCTTGATTGTTTTATGATACGTGAATAGTCAAATAAGGATATAAAAATGTATTTGTCTTTATCTAATCACTAAGTCATGGCTAGTGTAATAATTCTTGAACAATTCGACTAAATAAAATAAAAACTTGATATAATAGGTTTTGGCTAAAAAATCATGTGTTTCTCTATCATTCTATTCTGGATTTATTTCAGGCGTACGCATCAAGAGGAATAATTTTTCAGTAGTAGGATAGCAATTGGAACTTGCTAAAGTTTGATGATTTAGAGATACTACCGAAGCTTTACCTTTTGATGTTAACAGTTAGGACTCTTGGCCAAGAGAAGACACTTTTTTTTTTTTCGGATAAATTAGATATCCTAATTAGTCAAGACAAGCCTCTACATATAGAAAAATAAAAAAGATTTTCTACTAATTTTCGAGATATAATTGATGCATACCATGAAATGAAAGCCCTCTTTGGCCACTTAACAGATTTTTCTAATTTAAGAGTTTTTCATTTTTGTTAATACTTGAAGCCCGGCTCTTAAAACCAACATTCTCAATTTTCAAAAATCTTACAAAGCAGTTAACTACCATATACTATAAGTCATGCATGATAACATTTAACAGAAGACACAACACAATTTGATGATAATCTCATGAATCCAAACTCTGCTATAAAAATAAAAAACTAAATTACCACATTCACAAAGAGCCAAGACATTAACAAGATGTACCAAGACCAGAGGGGCAACGAGGGAGGATCGACACAGCTTTGAGAAGTAAATGTTTCTCGGATCAGAGCATTGTGTTAAACATGACAAATCGATTTCTCATCTCCAAAACTTCAAATTAATTGGTTCAAGATGAAAAATTCAATGCAGAAAAGAAGATGCCAAAGCCGTTACAATTTCTAGATGATTCTTAGCCGAGCCAACTTCAAGAAGAGTACACACACACACAAAAAAAAAACTTCACATTACATCTACAGTTCAAAGGGCTATATCAAAGCCTTTCCTCTGACATGATACATCCATGTTAGAGTGAGAGTGAGAGTAAGAAAGCAGACAAGAAGAAGTATGTTTCAATCAATCTAACGTGCCATTAAGCACCTATTTCAGGACTTGCATAGAACAGCACTTGGTACTTCGAATTAGAGAAAAAAAGAATAATTAAAGAATAAATTTTGATAAATGACAGCATAAAAATACTTGGTGAAAACTACACACTTCTGCTCTTTCGAGTTTCTGACATACAACAAAAGCACAGAACAGAACAGCAGAACTAATTTCCTCGGGTTTGACCTGCTCCCCCGTGCCAAACAGCTACCCATTCCTACTAGCAAGCGGGCCCCTTGGAAGAGCACCAACCCTCATCCTCGCTGTGGTTCTCTCGTTATGTGGTTGAGCACTGGCTTCAGAACTGCCGGACACACTTGTCGCATTCAAAGAATCAACCCTTGGGATTGGAGGATTACCAACCCTCAGCCTCGCTGTGGTTGTCCAGTTACGTGATTGGTCTCTGGCTTCAGAACTACCAGACACACTTGTCTCGTTCAAAGAATTAACACTTGGACTTGGAGGATTTCCAGTTGTCAACATTGTAGTGGTTCTCCAGTTAAATGATTGGTCGCTGGCTTCAGAACTACCGGAAACACTTGTTTCATTCAAAGCATAACGTAAGAAAGAGAAAGAGGGGTTAAACTCAACTTCCACGTGCAGAGTGTTGTACTGTTGATCCTCAACCTCTGGCTGCAATGCATTCGGTAAGGCCTCAATGGCCTCATCCAAAGACATCCAATCATTCCATACGTCTGCAGACTCCAACTGAGATGAACCAAGGATTAATTCCTCAATGACCCCATCCAAAGACATCCAATGAGTCCATTCCTCGGCAGACACCAACCCAGATGCACCAATGATATCCTGAACATCCCGTTCATGCTCCAAGCTCATCCAATCACTCTGGCGTCTCGAGTCAGCCTCTGATGGTCGCACAAAAGGATGTTCAAGCCTTGCATGCTTCCTTAACTCTGAATAAGTCCCACTAAAGTCACAGGTCTCAAGAGAACAACTCCTGGGTTTAGAATTCATAAAAATGCGAGCGGGTTTTATAACAATACTCCCGTCAATTTGGCCCCGACAGAGTGGGCACGAAAGCTTTGGTTGGAATTGTCTCCCATGAATCCCTCTTGGGATGATGTTTTGTTGTTGTTCCTCAATTCCTCCGTGATAGGCGGCAGTGTAAAGAGGAACTTGTTCAGTAAGATCTGTTGATGATGGGGTAGTGGCTGATGATTTGCAGAACAGGTCGAAACAGTTCGAGTGGCGCTGGCTGGTGTCGCACATGTAAGGGTGACATCCCTTCTCGTGGGAAGAACAGAGTAAGAGGACAGCATTGTGAGGATGCTCCATGCAAATGGGGCATCTAACTTCTTCCCATTCCTTCTCATCTCCCCCAACTGATTGCAAACTACTTTTGGGTCCGTACTGCTCAGTGTTTATAGGGCTGCGAGCATATGGAGATGCTCTGGAACGATCAAAAAATCTGTGAGGAGCACTTTCATCTTTCGGCATTCTGTTCTGGAAATTACGACACCGCTGCAACCAAATGGAAAATAAAATGAAATAAGATAAAATTAGAGAATACACCAAAAAACAGTTGCTCACATGGAACGTGTAGAATTAAGAGCATCCAAGGTGGGCTGCCAAAGGAGCTGCCATTGCCAAATTTAGGCAGGAGTTGGCAAAAACAGGCCTCTAGTAGCATATGCTATATTGGCTGCCAAATTATAGCAATGCCAAAGTCTTGTGCCAAATTTAGCACAAGCTTTTGCAATGCCAAATCTGCCAGATCATCAGCATCCCCAACTCCCTCCCTTCCTCTTCCTTTCCCAGCAAAAACTCCCCCAAACAGAAAATAATCACCTTGTTTGGTTCCAATTTTTTAAGTCAACTTTCAGAATTTGTTTTTCAAAATTGTTCTTGAGAAAGTGTAATTGTTAGGTTATTGGAGTTTTTGCAATTTACAATTTTCAATTTGGATTTTTTTTAAAAATTTTTTGGACTGAGTTCAAAAATTGGAACCGAACAAGGTGAATATTTTTTAGCAATTCACCAAAAAAAAAAAACAAAAAAATGACTAAAAACAACAACAACAATAGTCACGCAATTTCAAACAGATTTCAAGCAATATCAAACAACTAATCTCAAGCAAAACAATTCTCCATGATATCATAAAGAAAGAAAGACGATTTCAGAAAAACAAATACCTGAACTTGAAGATGCGTAATGTATGACTTCAGTAATGTCTCAAGCTTGCTTGCTTCGTCTTTTATCTGGTTGCTGCGTGGTTTAGGGATTTCGGCTGCAAAAGGTTTAGGGTTTAGAAAGAGATAAACAGATAGAAGAGAGATCAGTCGATATATATATATAGGCAGTGATGATCCGATGGAGATAGAAGAGAGCAAAACCCCTTTCACGCGTGACGCGGTCATTCACTTTCCCACAAACTCTCCCTCTCTTGTTTCATGCTCTCTTCTCTTACCATTTTCTTTTTTCTCTTATTTTATTTTAATTTAATAAAATACATATAATTTTTAGGATGAAGCAGTAATAAATTCTAAAATTTAGTACTGTGAACTGATTAGTCCTTAGAATTTTGAGATGAACCTAAAAGTCCTGTTTTAAATGAAATTAGTGAAAATGATGTTGTAAACACACGCGTGTAAGTAAAACGAGGGGTAAATATGGGATTTAACTTAAAGGAAATTACACATTTGCATCAAGCTTACTATAGACTTATTGTGTTTTCCCTCATTCGTGATCGAATCCCACGTTATCAGGGATGGAAAGATTTCGTATTCGAATGTTGATTTCGTTTGTTATTGATATGTAATTGTGTGCCAATGTTCGTGGTTGTGTTTCACTGAAGGCGTAGTATTTACTTTGTTTTGAAAGCAGAAACCGTTCATTGTACGATCAAGGATTTGGGTTTTGTTCTAGAAATCGCTGAATTTGTTTTGGGAAGTTTGTTGCACAAGAATTGACAACGGCACAGCGAGGTTAATAATGGTTGTGTGATTTGCAATGGAAGTTGGGAATTGCCATATTAGGATTTGGTACTGTGTAGGTAGGGGTTCTATAATAATGGGGTTTAATACTGATGTTTGCTACAATGTTTGTGTGTCATGTGGTTGTGGTTTTCGTATAACATTATCGTACAGTTTAGTTTAGGTCGGTGTTTGTTTGTTTGACAATGTTGTATAGTGCCAAATCATGTATTTCCGTTTGATGTGTTTTGATGGTTGGGTGTTTATTTACCATTGTTGTTTGAGGTTTTTTGTTCGGTGTTAGATTCTTTGATAGGGTTGTATAATGTCGAAGCATGTGTTCCTGTTTGGTGTTTTTTTTTTGTTGGGTGTTTATTTTATCATTATACACTTAGAAATATTCACATTGATGCAGTGGATTTCCTGTTCACTCAACCAGAAAAATACACTGTATGAAATCCACTGCGTGGTGTACATATTTACACTGAAAAATACACCATGTTTTTTTACCATTGTACACTAAGAAATATTCACACTGACGCGGTGGATTTTATGTTTACACTAAGAAATATTTACATTTCAATGCAGTGGATTTCTTGGTTAGGTGTAAGTTTGTTCGATATGGTTGTATAGTGTCGAACCATGTGTTTCCGTGTGATGGGTGTTTGTTTGTTATAGTTATGTGATTGGTTGGACTATTGTTTTGTCATGGTTGAATGTTAGGTGTTGATGTTAGTTTTTAAAGTATTAGAGAAACACATATAATGTAGAACATTTGAAGTCAATGTGAGAATAAGGATTGTGGGGTTGATGTGTATGAAGTTTGTTGTTTCGATATGTACTAGTTGCGTTTGCATTGTTAGTGTGTTCTTGTTTTGGTACGTGACTGACGTGTTGTATTGTGGATGTGGTGAAAATGTCATAAGTGTTAGATTTGTCTGTAGTTGGTTCTATGTTACAATGTTTATATGAAAAGTATGTAATAGTGCATGTGGTAGTCTGCCCATGGTTGATGTGGTTATTGGCAGAATTTTTGGCAGTGTGGTGGTAAATGTTTATGTTGTTTGCGAGGTAACGTTAATTGTTATGTGTGATGGTGAACGCATTGTGGTAATTGGTTGCAGTAATTACGTGCTAGGTTGGTAAGATGTTTGATGTCATACAGTAATGTGGTTTTGAATTATAGTGGTTGTGGTGTTAATGGTTTACGGTTGTTGCAGGTATTTCGCGGGGAGACACAACACGACATAACGCAAGAGGAATAATGACCGATTCAACCAAAGGGAAATCATCATTGACGAGATTAGCGGTGCGAAGACAAAGTAAACTGTTATTCAAGAACAAGAAACCACGCTCTGTTGGTGTGAAAAGCGAATTGAGAAGGGCAGTAGTTGACCCATCAAAGCTAATATATCGGTCAAATATGGCTAGGGTGATTAAAACTGTTTCTGAAGTTGTGCTGGGTGAAGCTCACACACTCCACTTACAAAAAATCCCGATTTTGGCTAATGATTGGCGCGATACGGACAAACAATTTGGCGGAAAAAACTTACAAAAAATGTGATGGAACAGTGTGCCGCATTATTCAAACGTATAACCCAACGGATGAAAATTCTTACATTGGGGGTAAAGGTATACCACTACGCAATAGTGATGTAAGACTCATATTTGGGATACAATGTGACTGGGATAAATTGGACTTGACATACGGAACCAAACCTCCATCTGATTTCATCCAACGACGTTGTCCGAACATTGGACGGATATCTTCCAAAGCCATCAAGGAGCTTCTGCTTGAAACATTGCAAGGGACCACCCCACGTGATGAGGAAGACGTTGCGAAGCTGTTATGCTTGTACATTTGTGCGAAGCTATTTTTCGCAACTACCGGAGAGGCTATTGGGTGGGCTTACGTCCGAGCCATTGACAAACTAGAGACACTAAGGCTGTATGACTGGACAGCAGCAATCCGTAATACGCTGATTGGGTTGTTGAATGATTTCTATAACAAACCAGCAAAAGTGACTGGTTGTGTTGTCGCATTGCTGGTAAGTCCTACTTCATGACTCCATGGTCATTTGTGATTTCAATAGTTGTTTGATGCTGTAAGTAACACAGATGGATTATGTTTGAATTGTAGTTTTTACTTTGTGAGCACACCAACCTAATCGAGCTGGAGCGACCTAAATTGTTTCCACGATTTTGTAACTAGAATATTGGCAACCTAATCAGCAAGATTAAGTTGATGGATTTAACGTCTGAAGGTACTTTCGAGGTATGTACTAACCTGCATTTAAAGTTGCGTCCATTCATATCTGCAAAGTTTGTGGTTGTGTGACATTTAATGGTTTACAGGTGAATTGTGAGAAATTGTCTGGGTCAATACTTGAGCGTTATCAGCTGAACGCCAATGTCAGTGACATAGAAGGACAACGAAGTGGTGACCTAAATGTTGGTGTGAACCATGTTCTAAAAGTGGCCCCGGAATCGGTGTGGGACGGTAATGTAGAAGGCGGTACCAATATGGCTGCTGCAGATGCAAGTCTTGAATGTTGGAAATCATGTTCTCCAACTGATGGACACATTCAGATAGCATCAAAATTAAAAGATACAGGCACAAATACTGAGTCTACACGACAATCTGAGAAGACTTTAGGTGACATTCTTGTGATGGGGGAAAGGGGCCAAACTTATTCCCGGACCTACTTGAGCTATCCCACACACCTGTCGTGAACACTGATAGGGAGAAAACAGATAATGCGGAGCAGGCACTGATAAAAGCATTGGTCAAAATTAAGGACCTGGAAAATGAGTCTGTTAAGAAGGCCGAACGTGTAAAGGAGTTAGAAGGGAGGGTGAGTGCAATGGAACGGATGATTGGTGAGCAATGTACCAATATGTTCATGGGGTTTGACGGTGTTGTTCGTGCGAAGGACACTGGAATAGAACATTTATTAGGGCTCGTTACTGATTTGTAAGTAAGAATCGTAAGATTGGAAGATCAGATTGACGACCATGAGGCGCACATAGTCAGCCAGTCAGTGATGAATGATAGCGCCAGTCGCTGGACATTCGGTGACTGTCACGTAGGCAATAATTGTGTATCAAATGCAGAAGCCCATGATGGCAGTCAACTGCATTCCCTGTCAACAAACATTGACTTACCGCAGAGCGAAATTGTCATATCAGATTGTGCATCGAGAGAGGATCGTTCAAATATTGGTCAACTGCGGCCGTCGCTTGGTTACTCGTTAAGTACAGTATCGGAGAATAACACACCTAAGCCCGACAAACCCGTCATGGCAGACTACACAGGTAGTGCAGTTGATGTGGATGAAAGTTGTACATAATTGTGCTTCGTTACTGTGGGAAGCCCACAAATAAATTCATTGGTGAGGCGTGTGAAAGAAAAACTAAGACAAGAATGGAAGTTAGCGGATTACGAATACCCCCGTGTTATTATTCTGACAAAACAACAGAAGAATGTAAGTACAGGTGTTGTGGTTGTATCTGGTGACGTGGTTAACGTTGATGATGGAGGTGAAGTGGAGAAGTCGTGGGCCGGGTTTAGAATGCACCACAGGCTTCTTGTGTGGAAAATGCTCAGCATAGAGGAACAGAAGCGTTTGGAGGACGTGTACAGATTCAAGGGTGATGGGTGGGTATTAATTTTTGTTTGTGCAAATATATTTTATCGAAACTGAATGTTTAAATTTATGAAATGTTAATAGTGATTATGTTTGCTGTAGAGTTGTAATATGGGGTGGGGTGGGCAACGATGTGCAAGTATGCTTCACAGATGTACAAGCTTTGGTTCAACAATTGGGCATCAAAGGCAACGCAAGTAGTGTGGTGGTGGTTTACGTGGTGGTTTTGGGAGGTTTTTTTCTCTGAATAACACTAATTAATTACAATAAACATTGGCATTAACATACTATGCTGGCACCCCAGGTAATCGATGTGTATGCCGATATACTTATGGATTTACAAACCAAAGCGATAGCTAGAAGTGAATACGTTAATCGATCTTACTTTTACAGCAGCATTTGCGCGGTATGGTAACACAACCTAACTATTTACGTATTGTGTTACGTACATGTTATACTTGTTTACAATATCCATTACCAATGGTTATGCAGGACATGATACGGAATCCAAGTGCGGAATATAGGGACAGATATTTGAAAGTCCAATTTAACGCCGCTGAAGAGCGTAGATACGTTCATTTCCCAATATATTACTCAAACCATTGAACAATCATGGTTCATGATTCCAAGTGTGGGACATGGCGACATTATAATTCAATGCCGCAATGAAAGGGCAGCAGAGATCATCATTTCACAGAGGTATTGAAAATGGTAATTACGGGTTTGATGTTGTCTGTGATTAGTGAATCCCTTTGGTTGTTTGTTAATTTTATAGTGCTGATTATTTGCAGAAACAATGGGTGATGGACTACACGAAACGGTTGCTGAAAGA